TCCCAAGTGCTGGGATTAAAGGCGTGTGCCACCACTGCCTGGCATATTTTTGTTTTCTAATTGGGAAAAAAATGAATTTTCTCTTCATTGAACTAAAGGCATGCAGAGACAAGTACAGTGTCTGTGCATAAAGGTGCTTCCTTCTAAGATGAAGTAAGTTCTCTGGCTGGGATTCACAGGTCAGGAAGAACGATTCCCATAAACTGTCCTCTGACCTCTACCTGAATGATGTGGCGCACGCACATACGCATGCACGCACGCACGCACGCACACACGCACGCGCTCACGCACGCACGCACGCACGCACGCACGAAGATGTCATCTTACTGGAAAACCAAGAACATGAAACTGGGCTTGGGAATTAGCTCTGTGCTTGAGTGCCTGCCAGGCACTCTTACCAGAAGGAAGTAACCAATTCAATTACAATGGTATCTACTGATAAGAAAAAAGTCCTTGCTAGGTTCACACCTTCCATCTCAACACTTAGGAGGTTGAGGCACATGGATCTCTGTGAGTTCCAGGCCAGCCACGGCTACATAAAGAAACCCTGTCTCAAAGCAAAGCAAAAAGAAAGAAAAAAAAATTCTTACAGAGGCCTTTGACATAGTGACACCTAACATTTAGTGTTTCTTGCCTTTATTATTTCTCATTTTAGGGCCATTACAGATGTGTTGCAGAAGCTATTGCTGGGGATACTGAAGAAAAGCTCTTCTGTTTGAATTTCACCATCATTCACTCCCGTACTGCCAATTAGAATATATTGAGTACAAAAGCAGTGTTGTTTTTCTTTTAAAAACTTTCCCATTTATCTTTTATTTTAATGTGTGTGTGAGCCCTGGTTAGCTGGAACTCGGATTTGCCTGCCTCTGTCTCCCAAGTGATGGAATTAAAGGTGTGTGCCATGATGCCCAGTGCAGCTGCTGCTCCTCCCTCCCGTTCCTCCTGTTCCTCCTGTTCCTCCTCCTCTTCTTTTTCTTCTCTTTGAGTCAGGTTCTCACTATGTAGCTCAAGATGGCCTTGAATTCCTTACACTTCTGCCTCGGCCTCTTGGGTACTGGGATAACAAATCAGAAGTGTTGCTCATATTTTAAGGATCTTAGTGTCTATTTTAAACGGGCACTGAGAAATGTAAAAATTAAGGAAGAATATAAACATTAAGGAAGAATATTTTTTTGCATTATAACTATTTTTATTTATGTTTTTCATTGTTGAGGATTGACTAAATGGCTTCATAGATGCTAAGCATGCATTCTACCACTGAGTTACATTCTATGTCCTATTTTGATAACATAAACTTATGTGAGCATTACTTTTATAAACTTTGATATAAATCATGTTAAATACAGAGTAAATTCATTATTATTGTTGTTTTAAAAATACTATTATATATATATATATATATATATATATATATATGACAGAGTCCCAAAGCCAGCTGTTTGTGACTATGTGAGAAGGGATGTCTTGCTGACCCTGAAAGAAACGCCCCTTCCCTTCCCTGTATGTTCACTTTATATCCTGATTGCTGCTCCCTTCCTGGTCTCCAACTCACACAGTTCCTCCCCCAACTCCTCTGCTTTTTCAGGCATACCCCCACCCTGGCACATCAAGTTTCTGCAGAGCTAGGTTCATCCTCTCCCACTGATGACAGATAAGGAAGATTTTTATACTTATGGATCCCTAGAAACAGGTGGCATAAGGTACCACTTAGAACCATACCCTGGAGGTGGAAGAAGAGAGAATGTGGGCAAGAATATTTACTTTCTCTTATGAGAGAAGGAATGGGAAGGCTGGGAAAGCACGTTTTTCCACTGACAGTTGGAATAACTTCATTAGGCTCCCAGGCTCTCCTTAGTTGTCTAGTCCTTGGCCTGGAGTGATTATGGCTCCAGGCTTAAAATAGTGGCTTAGAGTATGAGAACCCTGTAGAGGTGGAGGCTCTGGGTAGTTTACACAAGGAAGCCGAGTTCACCAATGAGCCATTCACTGTCCCCAGGACTGGCTAATCCTGGAAGGGGCATTTCTTTCAGAGACAGCAAGACATCCCTCCCCCACATAGTCACAAACAGCTGGCTTTGGGACTCTTTGTTTACTTTGATGTAAATATTGAATAGCTGGAGGGACAGCTTCCTAGTCCAGAGCTTGTCTTAGTTAGGGTTTTACTGCTGTGAGCAGACACCATGACCATTGCAAACTCTTATAAGGACAAAATTTTTAATTGGAGCTGGCTTACATGTTCAGAGATTGGGTCCATTACCATCAAGGTGGGAGCATGATAGTGTACAGGCAGGCATGGTACAGGAGGTGCTGAGGGTTCTACATCTTCATCTGAAGGCTGCTAGGAGAAGACTGACTTCTCAGCAGCTAGAATGAGGTTATTAAAGCCCACACCCACAGTGACACACCTACTCCAAGGCCACACCTTCTCCAAGAAGGCCCCACCTCCTAATAGTGCCACTCCCTGGGCCAAGCATATACAAACCATCACAGAGCTCCAGTGCCAGGAGTTTGCTGGCTTGATTTTTAAACCCAGAGGCTTTGAGATTTAGAGATTTCAGCATACACAGGCAAAACATATATGCGTATGAAATAAACTAAACAAAATCAACCAGAGACTTTCAAGGCTAGGGCCCTAGAGCCTAAAGTAGTTGAGTCAGATCCCCTGAACTACGGCTGGACTTCTTGTACCTGCGCAGGTAATTCTCAGTGTTTTCTCTTTTGAGGTTTGGTCTGTTGCTATGTATTGTAATGCGAAATTCTTTACCCAAAGGCCTATGAGTGACTTCTCATTTTTACAAGCTTTTGTTGTGCAAACCTTGTTCCTTGACTTAAAACTATTGGTTAAATAAGGTTGGCTATAGATACTTACTGGAGACATTAGAGGTACATTGGGTTTGAATGGCCTGGTTGAAGGAGAAACCTGGCTGGTTGTTCAACCCAGCTGTTCTGGCTCAAACTCCTCTCCAAGCTGACTGATTCAATATGACATGACTTCTTTCTCTCTCTCAGCTTCTTCTGAATTGCTCTGCTTGACCTCAAACTAACTTTGACAATCTGTTCTAATCTTCTGGCTCCTTCTCATTCTCTGGCTCATTCTGTCTTTACCTGTGTCTAACTTGTTCTCTATCTCTGTGCTCTCTTAAATAGCTTCCCTTTCCTCCCTTTTCTCATGAGAGTTGAGTTCTGTCAAATCTTTCTCTGATTCGTCATTTTGTCTGCCACATCATTGTGCTGCAGGAGTTGCCTCACAAACCAGATGAACACTGATCTCAGGCAGACAGGAATAGTTTAATTGAGCATAGGACCCAGGCCTGATCAACCATGGCCACGGTCCAGATTCAGGAACTGAACCATGACCCCAAGCTAAGGTCCTACACAACTTTTAAGCCTGAGATCTTCAAACATCTGTGCCAAAATGTTCCACCAATCAGGATTTAGGGATAGGAGATTTCCTTAGGATCATGTCTTTGCTGTACACGTATCCTGCTGCTATTTGTTGTGCTATTTAACTGTGGCAGGGGACTTGCTTTGTTTAATATTCATGTCCTAACTTGTCTACCAGGATGGGACTTGTCTAACATTTATGTCTTAACTTCCCAACGAGGATGACAGTTACCTGGGTAAATGTCTCTTTCTACCAAGTAGGACGTCAGTTTCCAGGGAGGTCTTGGGAACTTAAACTTTACTTGACCATTACTCAAAATAGAAATCTTATTTCAAATAATTTCTTATATTGTTGCAGGCATCTCTCTTATGTTGGGGTCTATCCCCAGGGCAGTTTATACCATAAAAGTTTATACATAGATGTAGGAAGTGCTGTTGAGTGGTTGGTTCAGGCCCAACCATATTGTGGCTAACTATTCAAAGCAGTTCTACTGATTTCTATCGTGATTGGTTTTCAAGGGCACAGAACATAACAGGAAATGTAATCAACTCGGCATTAGAAAGTTTCCTAATAACAACAGAAACATGGGAAAGTTTCCTTATAATGGCAGGCTAGTCAGGTAACAGTTACTTAGGCCTTAATATTTTCCCTAGGCCTTAACAACTCAATTAGACATCACTTTTAAACATGGGTGCTTCCTTCTAAAAACTAACTTTACCTTCATTGTTTGGGATTAAAGGTGTGTACTAAGGGTGTGTATGTATTTTAGCTGGAGAGATTAAAGTATGTGCTAAAGGCTAAGCCATAACTCAACTAGAAACAGTTTTTTCCCCAGTAAATAACACAATCTTGAGGGTCACAGTGTGATCAAATATCCTGCAATAGTCTGGCCATCTGGGGCTGAAGAGTCAGCTTTGATTATCAAGAGACTGGCACCACTGAGATGCATGAAACCTTTCGTTACTAGGAAAGTTGATGCTTGTCGGCTGGAGCTGAGAAATTAGCAGTGATTAGGAAGAGGTCAGCATGCCGGGCGATGGTGGCACATGCCTTTAATCCCAGCACTTGGGAGGCAGAGGCAGGTGGATTTCTGAATTCGAGGCCAGCCTGGTCTACAGAGTGAGTTCCAGGACAGCCAGGGCTACACAGAGAAACCCTGTCTTGAACCACCCCCCCCCCCAAAAAAAAAGGGAAGAGGTCAGCATAGCTGGATGGTGGTTGTGCACACTTTTAACCCCAGCACATGGGAGGCAGAGGCAGGAGGATCTCTATGAGTTCGAGGCCAGCCTGGTCTACAGATCAAGATCCAGGACAGCCAAAACTAAACAGAGAAACAGTGTCTCAAAAAAAAAAAACCCAACCAAACAAACAAAGAGAAACAGTGTCTCAAAACAAACAAACACACAAACAAGGAAAGAGGGAAGGAAGGAAGGAAGGAAGGAAGGAAGGAAGGAAGGAAGGAAGGAAGGAAGAGGAAGAGACCAGCAATGTTGAGCTGAAATCTTCTGAGAAGTGTTTAGTGAAGGCACATGAAAGCTCTGTTCCTGAGGCAGCTAAGGTTATGTTCCATGCTGGCAGTGGAAGTCTGTGGCAGTGTGAAAATCACTCAGGTCATACTGGTTTTGAAGACATGAAAGGATCATGGAAAGCAGCTGAGACTTGGCACTGAGAGATGCAGCCTTAGTGGAGGTTACTGGTGGAAGTGCAGCCCAATTGCTACAGAAGACCCCAGCATTTTAAAGATGTCAGTACCATGGGATGATCACCAAGAGCAGCACCAGCAGAATGGAGCCAGCCAGAGCCAAAAAGACAAGTTGTGTGTATTGCAGAGGGCAGAGCCGGAGAAGTGATTTAAGCTCTTTGGAGGAGCCCAGAAGATTGTGAGTGAATTCAAGATAACTGGACATTGAGTTATTTACACTGTTGGATATTTGTTTTGCTTTGTTCAGGTTGCTACTGTGCCCTGGTTCATCCCTCTTGAAGGAAGTATTTAACTTAGTTTTGACTTTTATAGGAGCTCACAATTGAGAGACGTTAAACTTTTAAAGGGAATTTTGGATATTTTAAAAAGACTGAATCTTTAATGCAATTGAATTTGTAAAGACTGTGAGAATTTTACAGTTACTTATGTTTTTAATGTGAAATCTTGGGTATGAATAAGAAAAAGGTTGTGATGTGTTTGTGCGTCAAACTGACGAAGGGTTAATTGTCCTGGATAATTTTATGTCACGTTAACACAAGCTAAAGTCTAACTGTAAGACATACATAATCCTGCCTGCTTAGCTCCACACCTCTACTTTTCTTTACCTTCCCTCTGTATAATGGGTGTTGATCTTTCTGAGCCCCACATTACTGTCAGTAGGTCAGCTAGAGCACACTGTCGATACTGGGTAGAACCAATCCCAGGTGAGACTGTGGCCCTGCCACTCTCCTGTGGCTTCTCCACCTCCAGGTCTTTTCTCCCCACAAACCATGGTGCACTGGGGTAGAATACAGCTTTTGTGTTCCCATTTCACCACCCTCCCTCCCTCAAGTGCTAGTCATTTGATTATCTATTCTCAGACTAAATTCCATGAGCCTGGAGGGATGGTCAGCCTGTTTGCTCACCTCTGTTGACAAGACGTCAGGAGCAAAACCAGACTTGCACTTGCTCTGTATCTATATTTATTGGACAAATAAATATTTTTTCTTATAAAAGACTCAAGTTATGTGCATGTCATCATTTGACTAAGACTTAGTGGTGACCTGCTATATGTCAGTCTGTTTTAAATTGCAGTTATAGCACTGAACAACAGAAAACATAACAAAATAGATCTCTGTTTCTGATGGATGTTGGTCATTGGTGGCACAGTAGAGGGAGAAGCTCACCAAGATGCTAAGCCTTCATTTCCCAAAGGAGCAGAGGGTTTAGCCTTCTTGGAAAAGACTGACACCCAGCTAGCTCAATCCAGTTACTTTAT